CATGGGGCCTCCTGTGTACCCCACTTATGCGCTCAACCAACTAGGCCGCTTGGCCATTTTCCCTTTTTTTTTCCCCCTGCAGCGAAATAACTTCTCTGACAACAACCGGCCAGGAGGGACAAGCCGACTTTCTTAGCCAGTGAACCCGAAGTATGCCACACAGGGGGTCGGGGGCAATCGACTGGATGACATGGGGGATTGAACCACACGTGGGGCCTCCTGTGTACCCCACTTACGCGCTCAACCAACTAGGCCGCTTGGCCATTTTCCCTTTTTTTTCCCCCTGCAGTGAAATAACTCCTCTGACAAGAGAATGCAAATTCTGACAGTGTGTCAAAGCAATCCCAAGATTTCTTTTTTTTCCTTTTTCATCATTTTGACGTTTTTTTCTGTTTTCAGATACAGTTTTTATTTTTATTTTAGTTTAATTAGCCTCTAAAACCAATGCCAAGGACCTCACAATTCTACCTACCTGATAAACTACGGGGCAGTTAAGGACGAACTGAGCAGCACACACTTTTATCATCTTCAATCAGGACAGAACCACTGGTCATTATCGCTGTATCTAGACTGCAAGTTGGCCCAAATACAGCACCTATAAAAGGACCGGGCATTCTATTCTAGTTAAGACAATAGCATGAGAATGGCAATCAAAGATGCACCCACAAAAAAACACGCACACCTTTCACCAATAATGCAGCAGTACTTTCTCAACCTTAGACGTCCCCTAGCGCCAAACAAACCAAAAAAAAAAAAAAAAAAAACCTTAGACCTCCTCTGTGCATGTGCACGGGTTCCAACCGGTGTCCTCAGCCTTTAAACCAACAGTACACCCGGGCCTGGAGGCACCTTACTGCGCGCCAAGCTTTTCTGAACCGCCACCGGCGCACTTGCTTTCTTTTTTGGTTGGGCGCCGCCAGCCTTTGTGGTGCGGTCCAGTAGGCCGAGCCTCCGAAAATTTTGTAGGTGACGAGTTGCATTTTCAGCAAGGCTGGGCCCGATGCAACTAAGCGAGTTAGACCACCAGTGCTTCCTAAAGTCGTGGCCGTTAACGAGCCACGATTTTAGGAAACGTACGGGCCACAGGAGCGCCCAAATTCATTTGAGTAGAGACCTTTCTACTCTATTTTTTGTTCCGCCGCCAATAGCTAGGTCAAGTACTGGTAGTTTAAAAGCCAAGTTTCTTAACCACAACAGCCACGGCACAGCTCTCAAAAGTGGAACCACACCGGTCGTCATATGCACGCCACCCCTGCATGGCTGTATAGTGTCCTTACTGGCCAAAAACAGAAATGTGAATATGGCTCAAACAGGTGACCAGTTTCGGCTGCTCCGCTTGCAGCCTCTTAATGGGGGGAGATTCATCCTCAGCACCCCACATTTCTTTTACTGTTTTTTTTATTTTTTTTCCTCAAATGCTGGCTGCCTTCTCCTCATATGAAAGGACTGCTGCATTTCCTATGCTATTTTCTTCTCTCAATATTCTTCCATCTCACATTACCTACCTAGGGCTGTGTGCTTGAACTGGTCTACCCACCTTCCGCACCTGCAAGGGGCACGGCAACCCAACCAGCACGGAACCCAGCTCCATGTTTCGAAGGCCAAGTACAGGGTTTGGGGTCAAGGACTACACACCGCCTACCTATGAAGGAAGGGTCGGAGCTTAAATTCACTAGCCAAAGCTAAGCCATCCTAAGGTTATGGGTCTACGCCTGCCTATCTCTGCTCTGTGCGGGGATCAGTGCCCAAGCTCCTAACACCCGGCGCGGGCTGGAAAGAATCCATTACTTCCACAACCAGCAGGGAGGCCCAAGCCAACAGTCTCTGGTGGTGAACCCGAAGCATACCCCCAGGACATCGCAGGGATGGAAAGGACGACGTTGGGTACCGAACCCACTGCGTCAGAGTGCTTCTTACGTGCTCAATAAACTGAGCTATTTGTTTTTCTGTTTTAAAAAAAAAACATAATTCTTCATTCTCCCAGAAAAACAACACCTGCGGGGTTCTGTTTTCTACATCACACTACCGTCTTCACCCGAATAGAACGCCCGGTCATTACGGCTGCATCTGGACTGAAAGTTGGCCCAAATACGGCTATAACGACCGGGCGTTCTATTCGGGTGACAACGCTAGTCGTGCAGCACAAACCAGGAAGAGCTTCTTGACTGTTCACTGCTTCTTCCACTTCTCACCTACTGCTCTTCTCCTCCATAGCCACGGAGGTCTTCTTCATCACCCTCAACTCCTTGCAGCAGCAGTGTAACTTCTGAGTGAGTAACCCAGACTCCATGGCCAGTGATAGCAATTTCCACTCTCTCTCTCTCTCTCTCTCTCTCTCTCTCTCTCTCTCTCTCTCTCTCTC